AAAATTAAAAGATAATATAAATAATAAAATTAAAATTAAATAATAAATAATAAAATAAGATAAATATTCTATAAAGAAAAGATAATTAATAATAAATAAAAAAAAATAAAAGAAATTTATTTCAAATTTATATCTAAATTATTTGAGAATTATAAATAATTTTTAAATTATTTAGATGATTATTATTTTAAAATATTATTAAAGTAAAATTAAAGTAAAGCTAAAGTATAACTAAAATTATAATTAATATATTAATTAAGTTATTTTAAATTACATAATTTCAAGAAAAATAATTGATTAATAAAAATCTTATTTTTTTAAGAATTATGAAATTAAAAAAATTTATATTATTATAGTAATATTATATTTTAAATACTATTATTATTTATCTTTAAATAAAATTTTTAATAAAGTTTTGGTAGAATAATACTTATATTTTTATTAATATATCTTGAAAACTTTTTTAATATTATTAATAATAAAATATATAATTATTTTTATTATATATTTTTAATAATTTAAAATAAATACTTATTTTTAAATTAATTTTATATTAAAAAAATAATAATATATATAATATATTTATAATTAGAAAGTAATTTATTTACTATTTGATTTTTTTTAAAAATAAAAATATTTAATTAATTTATAAATAAAGTTACTTATATAAATATAAAATCTTGAGACTTATATTGAATTTTATTTTTATTAAGAGTTTTAAGTTATAATAATATTATTATTAATATAAAAAACTAGATAACTGAAATAATTTTAAAAATATTAAATAAAAATATTAATAAAATAATAAGATTTATATTATTATCTTTATAAATTATCATTTAATATTATAAATTAGTTATTTATTCTAAAAACTAATTTTAAAAATTATAATATTTTTTTTATTTATAATTATTAAAATAAATATTTCTTGAATAATTCTTATAATTTTAGTTTAAATAGTATAATTATTATTAAATTATCTTTTAAGAAATTATTTTTTAATTTCTAAAATTAAAATAATCTTATTTTTAATAAATATAATAAATTATTAAATAATTAAATTAAATTTATTTATTTATAAATACTTAATAATTCTCAACTTAAAATTTTTATAAAATAAAAATAATTAAATTTTTATATAACAATCATAACTTAATATAAAAATTTTATTTTAATTTAATTATTAATTAATTTAAAAATAAATAAAATATATATATTATAAATTTTTATTAATATTTTAAGTAAGAAGTATATTAATTAATAATTTAAAAAATTTTTGATTTTAAATTAAGTAAAAATATTAACTTATTATATAAAATTATATATTATTAAGTTTTTTTTTGATAATATTAAATAGTTTTAAAATAAATTTATTATTTTTATTCTTGCTTAATTAATTATTTTTTTATATAAAAATTTATTATTATTATTAGTTATCATTTAAAATTAATTAGTAATTTTATAAATATTCAAAATTATCTTTTTTTAAGTTATTTTTTTATTTTACAAGATTAATATAATAAAATTAATATAATAAAATTTTTATTCTTTTATTTTCTTTATTTTTTATTACTTCATAATTTTGATAAATTTTTTAAATATAAGTTATTTTAATTTATCTAAATCTTTTATAAAAATTAATTATCAAAAGATTTATTTTTTATATTTATTTATATAATATTAAAGTCTTATTTATTATTATTATTTGATATTTTTTTATTTAATTATATTAATTAATACAAAAAGATTTATATCTTAATATAAAAATTAAAATTATTTTTTTAAAAAAAAGATATTTTAAATATTATTATTAATTTATAATATTAAAATTTTAAATTATATAAGTAGATTATTTTAAATTTGATAAATATATATTTATATATTTTATATAATAAAATTTAAGAAATAATAATTAATAAAAGTTATTATTAGTAAAAATTTTTTTTTATAAAAGATATATAATAAAAATTTTTATATTTAAATAAATCTCAATACTTAATAACTTAATTATTATTTTAAAAAAATAATCTATTAATATTTATCTAAGATATAAATTTTTTTATATTAATTTATAATTTAAAATAGTTTTATTGCTTTTTAATAACTTTGATATAGTATTTGATTTTAATTAATTTATATGATTTGATCTAAAAAATATACCGTAAAGTCCCGATAATAAGCAACCCCCTACGTCATCATTTTTGAAGTCAATTTTTAGGGGGGTTACTTATTTTCGAGCCCTTTAAATAAACGTAAATATATCGACGACTAATGAACGTTCTATAGCTCATCGGATTCGTCTTATTGAGGCGATCATTTTGGCGGTTTTTTCGTTTGAATCTGGTCACTGGTTATCGAAATACTCGGAAAACATTTACTGATATATTAAAAATTACTATCACAAATAGGGGTTGCTTATTCAACTTTTCTAAGACTTTTGGGGGTTGCTTATTATCGGGACTTTACGGTATGTTTTATTACATTCTAATCATGTATATATTATTATAATAATATAATTAATTTATAATATATTATATAATATTTTCATGATAAATTTTAGTAATAATAATATGACTAAGTATAATATATCATATTTAAAATATAATTAATTATTAGATAAATGTACTATTTTCTTTAAAAAATATTTTTTTATTTTTTATTTATTTTTAAATTCTGTATTCTTGCGAAGCCACATTACAGCCACAAAAATCACGCGATTCGGTGCTGTCGCTGCAGAAATTATGAGCCGATTACATTGATTGGTACGTGTCCGTAAATTCTCTCACGTGAATAGTGGACTATCACGTGATAATATTTTGCAACTGAATTTTGGTGCTGTGATTTTGCGTTATTTGTATTCTATTTTTCACTAATTCTCATGTATACTATTTTTCGGCGTAGTCCACTTGCACTTAGAAGAATTGCTTTAACAAAATGTACACGTTCTTTTATGACGATTGGGAACGTTGATAGTCATCTATTTTCACAGTTGTTAAGAACGCAACATAACTTGCCGAGATCCAAACTTGGCAATTCAAGAGTTCTTAAATTTCAGCATGGTACAAATAATTTTCAAGTAAAGTTTAGTTGAATAAAAATTTTGATTCTTACTAAACTAATTTCCTTTGAAACCTAGTACGTACAATGTTTATTCAAACACAAACCACACCAAATCCAGATTCATTAAAGTTTATTCCCGGTGTTCCAATAATGCCGGAAGGAGAAACCGCAGAATTTATTTCAGGTCATTCAGCTTCCACCTCGCCACTGGCGAAACAACTGTTTCGTATCAAAGGAGTCCGAGGTGTATTTTTCGGTCCTGATTTTATAACAATCAGTAAAGATCAGGACACACCCTGGCAATTAATGAAACCAGATATCTACGCAAACATTATGGATTTCTTTGCAACCGGACAACCGGTCGTGACTGAAGGCCAGCCACCATCCGACACTGAAATACAAGAAGGTGATTCGGAGGTGGTGCAAATGATTAAAGAGTTGTTGGACACTCGGATTCGACCCACCATTCAGGATGACGGCGGAGATATCGAATATCGTGGATTCGAGGACGGGGTGGTCAAGTTGAAGTTGAGAGGTTCGTGTAGAACTTGTGATTCGTCGGTGGTCACACTCAAAAATGGGATAGAGAATATGTTGATGCATTATATACCTGAAGTGACGGCTGTTCAGCAAATTTATGATGAAGTGGAACAAGTTGCGCAACTCGAATTCGAAAAATTGGAAAAGAAAATAGCAGCAAACAGTCATTGATTCTTATTATTATAAGAAGAAGAAGAAGAAGATGATGATAACGAACTATTCTTTTAATATTTAAAATATACAGTTTTTGAATTGATCTGAATTATATTTCATTATTGTAAAATTACGCGCATTGCCAAAATTAATAGAAATTAAAACAGATATATAAATCTGTATTTATTCATATCA